TCTGGAACCTGTGTTATAATATTTTATTCAATTTAATTGCAACATTTAAACTGGTGGCAACCCTCTTCAAAATTATTTTTGTTAAAAATCTTTCTTTAATTTTTTTCTTTTGGCACCTGTAACCCTCAGCAAAAATGCTTTTGGGAAAAAGCTTACATTCATTTTTTTTGTTTGGCACCTGCATTTTATTATTTTACTTAGCCCTCATTAAATTGGATTTTAAATTTCAAACAAGTGACGGCCCTTTTCTTAATTATTTTGGGAAAAATCTTTGTTTAATTTTTTTGGCACTGTATTGAAAAGTGGTGTCAACCCTCTTCCAAAATATTTTGTCGAAAAACGTTTTCTCAGAACTTTTTTGCACCTTTAGTTTATGATTTTACTTAAATTTTATTGTAATTTTCAAACTGGTGGCAACCCCTTTCGAAATCACTTTTGGGAAAAATCTTTCTTTAAATGTTTTCTTAGGGCCCCTGCATTATAATGTTTTATTTAATTTCTCATTATATTGAACTGTAACTTTTAAACTGTTGACTGAGAAGTCGACTAGCCAAAACACTTATTTAGTTGAACGATAAAAATCGACTAGAAAATCAAGCCGTGTTAAAGCACATTTAAATAAAGCTGTATCCAACCTTTCCCTTTTGAAGCCCCTACCAATATATTTGATTTAACTTTAATTAAATTGATTAAAACTTTTGAAAAAAAGTGGCCACCCACTTCAAAAAATATCCTACATGTTAACTCAAGCTACACAAGCATCCTATCGATGTGCAGGGATTGCCATGCAGTGATCATTGATAACATTCAAGCGACAATGTCCTGCAATGAACTTTTTATAAGTGACCGCTGCAAGACATTGTCTGTTATATGTCTTTGATAGGAGTACACCTGCATGACATTGTCACCAGTCTCTGGAACGCAGCTATTGTCAGCTATATGTCGGTTAGGATTCACAACAAGTGCGACGATGTCACTAAATCCTCATTAGTGACGATGTCACCGGTGACCATTTTCGCTACTGGGCGCAATAAAGCGACTTATGTATGTGTGCAGCAATGTGAGCTTGCGCATTATCATGGCTTAAAAAAGTAGCCCTGTACTTTCTTTTCGTTTCTATTTTCCAACAAATTTTCAAAAACTTTTGATAAGAAGTTTTCAGTATAAAATTTGGGAGTCACTGTTTGCCCAATGTCTGGAGGAATAGCAACTATGAGGTGGACTTGTACGTTTGGGGCTTCACACCATTGACTGCTCTGCTTAGTTTCCGGGTCATATTTATAAAACCAACCTTCGTCACTTCTACAAAACGGACATGAACCTCCTCCTAGCTCTCACTTAAAATTCGTGGGATCTATCGAGCAGATTTCTTCGTGTATTCCGCAATGTTCGCGATATAGCCATGACATTCACGATTGAGAGAATACAAAGGTTGCGCCGATCTCGGACCGCTATTCCTCTCTTAACGAATTTGACAGAATCGTTGTTTGCATGACGTCACACTTGTGCAACTTGTTTATGTTTTCTTTGCAACATTTTTTCTTCTTCTTCCATTCTTGCTCACGTTTTGGCATTTCTCTCTCGCAATTGCACCTGTGTGACGTCACACAAAAGTTATTCTCAAAAATCCTCTCTGATCGGCGCAATCTTGTATTCTATCATTCTTGCATGACATTCACTGGCTATTATTTTGTGTGATATTCGCGAATTTTCGTCAATTTGTCCCTTAATCAGATCCACATTTGTCATGTCGGTCGACGATATTGGCCGCCATTCTGAGGCTCGTTCTCCATGGAAAATGTCCAGTCTGGAATCTTTGATACCACTCACTTAAGAGCTGATGCGATTTTCACGTTGAAAGAATTGCATAAAGAATCTCTTTCTATGTTGGCTACGGAATTTCAACCAACTTTTCGTCACTAATTTTGCATTTTCTCGTCGCTAGTCTTACCAATTTTTCTGAAATTTAGAACAAAACTGCTTAATATTACTAAAAAACATGTCTTTAGGTTTTCAAAACCACTAAAAACATCAAAATTTACTGCATTTTTTTTAGTCGCCTCGTATGCTACATTATATATGCTCAATCTCAACATATTCGGCACAAAAATTGACGCACGCACCGTATACACTCCTCGCCGTCGCACTTGAATAGCTCAGCTAGAGCAGGTTTGTTGTTTTTCCGCCGCGAAGTGGCTTTTATAGCTCGGATATATAATCGGATGGTGGAACATCGACTTCATCGACATAGATTGGGGTTCGGGTTCATTTGCGCCACTGGTTTCAGTGCTGTTACATTCATCAATGCTATTTCCTCCATAGTAAAAGTATGTTCCCGTTAACTGTAATTTGGTCGCGGGGTTCTTCTCACAGGAGTTTGACCTTGAAACATTCCGTAGATCACCGTTATTCCCCTAGAATAGCATCTCAAGCTCTTTCCTCTTAAGCTCTTTCTCTGCAGCGATGTTCCTCATCATACAAGTAGTTCTTTCGGGATCGTTGAAATCAGCCAATTTCATCGACATAGCGGTACATAGTGGGCGGGAAATGTGGTACCATTTCTCGCATATGTTAGTTTGTCTAAAAACGCTCTCTGAGAGCGGGATTGAGAGCTGAGCGGCCGACAGTTGCAATTGCAACTTTTAAATCCGGACATTTGGCTGTACGGATTTACTTTTTCTACATCTTTATTTTCTTGAACATAGTGCTCCAGATGACTATGTTTTGACCCAGGCGAAGTCGGTAACGCTCGGTCCTTTATCGGATGTTCGTCGTGGATCAATTCTTGGTGAGGATGTCAGATGTAGCCTTCGTGAGGCCATCAACTATGCAGGCACATAGGCACCTTACCTATTAAGGGCCCCAGTGATTTCCCTCAAATCATAGTCCTTCAGACATGTTTCTTGGTCCTTCTCAATAGAAGAGGATCTCAATATAGGCACACAATCAGAACCCAGGCCGAATTTGGCAGACTAGCTCCACTCGCTCTATCATAACCAAAGGGCTTCACTTGGGTTTTCTATCACGTCTTACACTAGGGTTACCGCTTAAATATTTCATACTTAGTTCTCCATTCTAGCACCGACACCCTGTATACTTATGTATGCCACCAATTTTCCTGTAAGCGCTAAATCTCAAAAGTCAACAAATCGCAGGTTGGAGTGTGCCACCACCCACTTCCGGTGAGAAAATCGTATGCAAGTAAGTGAAAATGCTCTCTAAGAATAACAAAAAGTGAAAGGTTGGTGGCACTGCGCATGCCTTGTTTACATATGAGTTGACAGCACAAACAACTACACACGTATGTACATATGTATGTATAGAAAAAGATACGCAAGGAAACAGCTGCTTTAGATTTTTGTTGAGAACACACTTCAGTCACTTGGCGGCACTCAAAACGAACGGAAGTTGAATTATTTTTGCAAAGTACTACCAACACGAACACGCGCGTGTGTGCGTACATAGTATGTAAATACTATGTGTATGCCGTGAATAATTAAGGTGTGAACAACATGCAAAAAGGGGAAAGGCAAAATATAATTGCAGTGCGTAGTGAATTAGTGCTTGTGATAATGCGAATTAAATAAGAAATTTAAATGTAGACGCAATTTCTATACAAATGCTTGAGCTATGTATTTAAGTGCACATAAATCACCGGAAAGCTATAATAACTAGCGGAGGTGTAGAAAAGGGGGTCATAAATTAAGGTGAAACTTTTATTTATTTTCTATTTTGTATTATATTTTTAATACATATATAAGCAAAGAAACTATTCGTACTGCCTACCTCTTCCAGTTGACTTAGCATTTATATTTGTAACAAAACTGCAGACTTCCTTACTTGCCAGTTATAAACACAGCAAGGCGTTCAGCGAAGCGGAAAAAGTCAAAATTTGTGAATAAGTAATATATGTAAATTCATAGCCTTGCCTATTTGCCACTTGGGTAAAGCCGCTCAGTCAGTCGGATATAAAAATGGTAATTTTAGGTTAAAAGTAAAAACCACAAAACAGAAGTTACTACGTTATATTCTGTTCTCTATATACATATATATTTGTAGCAGAGTTTAGTTTAGCTTGCGTAGGAGTTTGTAATCCTTTTTTTCATGTTGTAAGTCAGTAAGTATTTAAGTAGCAAAAATTTGATGTTTACTACTAGGGATTCACTGTTTAAGTATATACATACATATTGAAAAACAAATAACTTTTAAAGAAAATTACGATCTGTTTGCCCTTTTTTCGGTGTTTTGCAATTTACTCGAAATTTTTGGACCAGGCACAAAAATGTAAGCTTCTGAAGAATCCCTCAATTTATTCTTAATGTAATGCTTTGCATCCACGCTGATATACATACATCTTGTTGTTGCTTAAACCACATGTGCTAAGTTATTAATTTAAATTTTGGTGTCTTGCGAAAGACGTTCTAGAAGGCTCTAAGTAGTTTGAAAATATTTTGAAAAAATTTTTCTACCAAATTCAACTAAATTTACCATTTAATTGAAATATATATAACATACTTTTGGACGAAAGATATTCAAAAAAAACCTTTGAAGGGGTTTGTTAACTTGTTAAATTAATTATTTATCACCCTGCACGATGAAAGATTTTTAAGAAAGTTCGTGTTTGACGATACTTTAGAAGCGGGTTGCCACCCTTTTGAAAATTCGTTCCTAGTTAAATTACGAACAAAATTTTCACATTTTTTACACTTACATTGTAAATAATTGTAAATTATTGTAAAATATAAACAATTATAAATTGTAAATTATTAACATTATTGACAATTATTTGCAATAATTTACAAGTAAATAATTATTGTAATTAATGTAGACATTTTACAGGCACAACCCTGGCTGAAACTCGTTGGTGTTCGCACCGAGACACTAAATATTTACCAATATTTATATTGTTTACAATTATTTACAATAATTTACTATTACTAATTGCTTAAAATTCTTTAAAAATCTACATTATTTCCACCAAAAATATCACCCTGTAAATATTTTACAGGAACTACCCTGGTTTTCACCCGTTTTAAATGTAAAATTTAAATCATTTAATAAGTTAAACGAATTATCCCCTTTTGCGATAACATGAAGGAGCCGCCAAAAGTTATATTCAATTTGTGTGATATATTTCAATATATACATAATTTAAATGAAATGTATGAAATTGAATGCCCTTCATTATAAAACGCCGCCAATTTCCAGTGATAATGGTGTTTGCGATTAAAAATCCCTTGGACATATATTATGGAAAGTTATACTATATTCTAAAGATGATTGTGTTACTCGCGAACTACAGTACGTCGCTGTTAGGTCCTTCAATAACTTAAAAATTAGGTTTGGTTTCTCAGCTCTCCAGCAATGCAAGATAAAATTCTGTATTTCACGAAGTTCGTTAAATAAATTCTGCGCCAAATATTTAAGTATATTAATGAATTTTTAATTTAGTTTTTTACTTAAGTTTAAATACTTAATATTAGTAAGTAAGCATTTCTTATAACCGCATTCAACGGAATTCCGGGAGTTATTACTCGGGTATTAAATTAATGAAACTTACCAATTAGGAAGTAAGTACTAATCTTTGTCATTTTCTCTATTACCGCTTGCATCAATATTTTCTATTTTTATGGTTTTCTATACATATCTATGTATTCCCTATATGAATAGTAAAATTGTAACAGATCGATGTCTGTACATTATAGATGTTAACGAGAAGCTATTATGGGCGGCCTTTATTAGAGCAACGGAAGCCAAATCAACCATTTTTAGAAATTGTTTCTGCCTCAATTAAGATTCAAATTCCTAGTACAACATGCGATGCGCAATCAGCCAAATCTGTCAGTAGGGCGGGCATGCAACTAGATGTTAGGGGCGTCTGCTATTGTTTTGGAGTTTTTTGCGATCAAAGTTAGCCATTGCAAATGTTGGAATCCGGCTGCAGGTATTCTTTCATTATATATCCCGAGAAAAAATGATATGTCTAACAAAAGCTATGTAAATCCAAATTAAAAAAAAGAATTACAAAAATTAGGAAAATAAAAAATGAAGCACAGCAACAATATCGTAGTTTGAAGTGTGAAAATAACCACAAATTAACGCGAATTCTTAGCCTATAGAAAGTTTCAATTTGATGAGCCACAAAACTGCATACTTGGATTTTTTTTTTAAATTATGAATACAAAGTTTGTTGTTGTGGGATTTTTTTTAAATTTCTCTACAAAGTTTGTAATGTGGATTTATATGGTGTTTAATTTTAAATATATAATTAACTTATACCTTAATAAAAAAAATTATTAAACATTAAGTCACCGAAAGGAAAATAATCAACACTGGTCAAGATATCGTGTCCCTATTTTTTACATAATTTAAAACATGTTCCCGCGAACACTGTGGATTAAAAAAAGAAACTCATGCAAGAAACAACTATAAATCTGAAAAATTGTAGTATTTAAGAATTTAAAATTAAAATAATTTATTTTCTCCTAAGACACGAAAAATACCAAAGGAAATTTTTATGGTCCCCTATAAACAGTAAATTTGAAGAAAATAAAAAGTGGCGTTTTTGAGAAAAAAGTTTTTTTTAGTTTTTTCATGAAATCGTATTATTGTTATCGTTTATCAAAATTTTTCACTTTTATTGTTCAGTTTAAAAAAAGTACAAAAAATGGGGTACAATAACCTTTACTGCAGCCTAATAGCTGAAAAATTAAGGAAACTACAAGGTTAAAAAAAATTGCTAAAAAATTATTTTTTTTTTACGAAATCTTAAAAAATTCGTACAAAATGCAAAAGTAATGCTATGGAAATTCAAAGAAATACGTGTTCAATTATTTTTCAATCAGGAAAACATATTTTATTCTGAAGTTAATTCTCGTTATACCATCGGATTGCCTGCATGATTCGAAATGGAACCAGTGATAAAATTTAATAAGTGATAATTTTAAATAAAGTCATTATATTTATTTATAAAATATTGTTTTATATTTAATTTCTGTGAATGGTGAAATGGTGTATTCATATGAATAACTTGTGGCGAACGTTCGAAAATGACCTTTCACATCCAATATGCGTATCGAACTGAGAACGAACTCATAACCAACCAACCTTGGTTTTTCAACGTTCATAGTATATTGGAAATACACTCGAAATGGGTTCGAAAAAATGAAAACCATAGAAGCAAGAGAGAAGGCGAAATCCAGCTCATTCACGAAGAGAAATATAAGACAATTAATCTCTCTCATTAAAGTTACAATTCGATAACGTGGGTTTTGTTTTACTGGAGAATGGCCAAGTTTTAGAATTGAATACTAACATATTCCACATTCATTATCGAAGGTAAGACTTGGAAAGAAGATTTATTTACCAATCATTTTCGAATTGTTAACCAAGCCGAATATTTGTTGCATTGTCTCGGTTGTGGTATAATTTTTTCCCTAAATTAGGTGCAATTTTAAAATTTCAATCTCTAGAGGAGAGGGTTACTTCTGGCTTCCTTGAAGCTTTTGTGCACCCCTCTCACCACTGTACATAGAGTAATTCTCAATTTAAGCAATTACGCTCACAAAATTGTGTATAAAATATTACTTTTAATGAGTTTCTATTGTCCACAGGCCATTGTTGTCGAGACAAAATAAAGCACAAGCGTCGCTGATGAATATTTGCCATTGTATGCGCTTGCATATCTATGTACCTGTATATCACCCCTAGTATTTTACTTGCAAAACACTGTTGCCGCCAAATTTTTGCCACCCTTGCAATATGCTTTTTGCGCCGACAATGAGTGCCAACAGTGTGAATAACTTTAATTAACTGATGGTGCGCCATGGCGTATGTGGAATGTGTTAAATGCCGTAATGGCGCATATGAAGACAAAAAATTAACAGCTGCACCTGCGGGTTGACTCGACTTCAAATTGGCTTATGTCTGGCTTTTGATGAACCCTTTTAACTAATATTTTTCTAAACATATTTAAGCATAATCAAGGGCAAGTGCAAAAAATATATGAAAGTATGGGTAATAAATGTAGTGTGCCTAACTACTTATATAGTCAAATGTATGTATGTATGTATCTACGTAGTTGGCATATCAGCACTAAATACAGCACAGGACATGCAAATTAATTGCCACATAGTAAAACACAACTTTTGTTTCGACAGTAAGAACTATGCGTGACACTGGCTCTCAGACAGCCACGAGCAATTTAATGTACACAAATGTAATTACCTTAATTACAGGCGGACGCATAAATGTATGCACACAAGTATATGTATAAAATTATGCATATACATATTCCTATGTACGTATTTATGTACTTTAGTGTAGTATGGAAAAGAAATGATACGTTAAAAAATAAGTATAGAAATACTTAAATAATTTAACAGTTTTTTTTTTTTAATTTTAAAAATTTACTGATTTTTTACATCGATAAGATGATTTTTCAAGTAAAATAAAAATGAAGACGAAGGCAGGAATCATTTTCACTTAACTGAACTTATAACAGCTTTATTTATGGCTACCAGTTGGGATTATCTTTTGTGGCCGTTTTCTTTTTAAAAATTTGGCTCAAAACCTATGAAAGGTTTTCAACCAAATTTGGACAACATATTTCTTATCGAAAATTGGTGAAAATATGAAGAAATTGATTGAGTTTAATGAGGCTTCATACAAGGGTATTTTCCAGCTCGTCTATTACGAATCAATATCA